TTCCGCTCCACCGTGCGGTTAACGGTGAAAACACGTTTGCGTGGTAGTAGTTTTTGGAGTTGGTGGAACATTGATTTTTTTCCTCTTTCTTTCTCTATTTCTTTCCTCTCTTGTTTCCCTGCGGTTTCGTTTCCCCCCCGTTGTTCCCCAATGAATAGTAGCCGGAGAAAGAGAGAATTTGTGAACTACAAATTTTTAATAAGAGCGAGAAAATTTTGTCAATTTGCCTGATTCGTTATTAAACACGATCGAATTTTGAATCGAATTCTTTTAGAGAATTCTTCTTTAAAATTTATTAAGATACATGTCTTAACGGATCTTCTTTCTTAAGTCAGATGAAAGTTTCAACTCTTTCGTTACTACTTACTATAGTGCATAAAATTGTGCCGCGTATTGTACATATGACGAGCAATTGGAATTATCTTTCTCTAGAAATGTAGCATCATTTGTTTCTCATAAAATTTCTCAAAAAAATCACCAAAAAAAAAAAATTTGTGTAAACGCGGCCGCTGATCTTTCTCGAGTACTGTGCACATTTTTGGGAGTGCCAGAAGGGAGATCGAAGCAAAAGGGTTAAGGCGGAAATAGAAACTTTCTAAATCCTCCCAATAATTGAAATCCTCCCTGAAGAAACATTTATAACATCAGTCGTGTTTGCCACGATCGGCGACGCAATTATATTATTACTCGTGGCGATGGTGGTGGTGGTGACGCCTCGCTTTCTGAGACACGAGCCACAAGCCAAGGAGAGGAAACGGCGAAGCTCCACCTCGCCCTCGGGTATACACCGTTGAAGAGCGAATGCAATCGCGACGAGGTCGCGTACCAGCCTCTGCTCGCGTACTCGGTTAAGTACACTTTATTAAGCATGCTGTCTGCGCGTTGCAGCATCCACTTACGTGGTAAATGGAATTACAAACGCATCCCACCACCACCCGTGGATGCGGCTGACACCTTCTGCGCCCGGTTTACGCGTGCACACGTTAAACCCAACGATCATGGAGGCGTTATGTTTGCGCGATCCTCCACGATCCCGCGGCTCCGCGCCAAATTGCTCGACGCGCTCGCGAATTAAATACCGAGCCGGTATTTCTTGAACGGGCGACGGAATTCGATGGAATTTTGGGGAATCGTTAGAAAATGGAAAATGGCAGGCGTATGGTCCGTATACCCGATAAATAAATTTAATATTTGATATGATATTTTGTTCGAATTTTGGAAGGGTCGAAATGATTTGGTAGAATTTGAGTCAGTTGATAAATAAGTCATCGACTCTGTGATAAAAAGGATGAGTATTTTTCTTTTCAATACTTTGTTAATGAAGATTTAACTCGTCGATAGCCGATAAATAAATTTATATTTAATATTTCGTTCGAATTTTGGAAGGGTCGAAATGATTTAGTAGAACTTGAGTCAGTTGGTAAATAAGTCATCGACTCTGATAAAAGGATTGTGATAAAAAGGATGAGTATTTTTCTTTTCAATACTTTGCTAATGAAGATATTTTGACATTATTTGATAATTTTTTTGAATAATTCATTACGTTTTATAGAAAATGATATTTTTTATTCTTGCAAGAACTTTTTCAGGCGAAAGAAAATATATTAATCCTTGAAATTAAATTTGTATATAATTTTCTACGCAAAGAAGCACAATTCGATAATATATAATTCGTTTCTTTAAACTCCGTACCCAAAAAATACCTTATTCTTCTCCCCCCTTTCATCAAATCATCAATCAGAAGCGCGAATTCATACATCTATCAACGATCGAAAGTTGTTCCTCCCTTCCCGCGTCTCGCTCAAACGAACTATAATTGAGGTTGGTGGATCGTGGAAGGGAGCGGCGCTCGCCGGGGGATGAAAATTCCGCGGCGTCGGCGCCGAATTCAGCTTCGGTCGAGCGAATTACTCGCGGAGGACGCGAGGCGCGGCTCGTTTATCAAATTCGCTCGGTATGCGCCGCATCAAAGACAGGGCCGTTGATTTATTAAATTGCGGCCCGGATGAAACCGTGGCTGCGCCGCGAGGAAAGAGGAATCTATTAACGGTGGATTCGACGTCACCAGACGTCGTCTACTTCGAATGGAAGGAGGAGGAGGAGGAGGAGGAGGAGGAGGAGGAGAGACTCCTTCCAAGAAGACAAAATTATTAAAGTTCGCTACGTACACATTTATCTTCTGCCCGCGCGCGCGCGATGGCTCCTTCCGGTAAATACGTCGAAGGTGATGAAAAGCGACTTGTTTACCCCCGTCATCGCGCCACTTCCGGAAACGGAGATCGAGAAAAAAAGTTTTCCATGGGGGAGGCGGATGGAGCGCGTGTACTTTAAGCGTACTTGGACGATCTTTTATTTTATTTTAGGGGTAGAAAGTTTCGCGAGGAAACGATTCAACCCCTTCTCGTGGAACTGAGAGGAGTATCCGTGAATGTATGTTTGCGTTCGAGTGAACGAGAAATGGATTGGCAGTGGATGATTGTTGGAAGATCGTGAGATTCTTTTCTTCTTTTGAATCTTTATCAATTTAACTCTTTAAGTATAGGATGTACGAATATGCATTCTAGATAATCAGGGGAAAAAAGGTGTATTTAAATCTTTAGTTATGCTATTTTAGAATGTTAAAGTTGTAGTTGTAGATATATTTCATATTTTTATAAGTTTAATAATTTATAATTTTTTTAATTTTGATATGCATGATTTTTTAATGTCATAAAATTATTTATAAACGTATAATCTATATTTTTTTATCTTAAAATAAATATAAAACGTTACATATATTTCATATCTTTATTTTTACTCGATTAAATTTCATTGTAGATTTAATTTTAATGCCATGAAATGAAATCTACTATATATGCTTGTTACATTCGTGTGAAAAATAAATTTTTACACAAAAATAAGAATTCTTTAAGCTTTAAAATCTACAATATTATCAGATAAATATTCTCAATAATTGAAAATTTATTAAAACACTCTTTAAATATCCTAATTTATAAATACTTCTCAAAAATTTGAAACGAAACATCCGTCCAATTACAATTATCCTTGCACTTATTCCATTATTATCAATCACCATTATTTCATTTCCTCTTCGTTATTTTATTGTCTTAAAAAAAGAAAAAAGAAAGAAAAAACGAGCATATCCAAAGATGTATTTATCTCTAGATTTTTCTGTACAGCGATAATTAAATTGTACACAAGAAAAGCCATCTTTCCTCTTTTCTCTCCTTCTGTCTCTGCAACTAAAGATAAAGTAGAAGGATCCGTGCCTAGTAGAATTCCGGCACAATAGTCGTCCACGGCACAACCATTAATTAGATTCGCCATGAAATAAGGATGGAAGAGGAAGTTGGCCAAATACGAAGGAAGATGAACGCAGGTGTTGCAACGACGGCCAAGAAGCGAAGAGAGAGGGAAAGAGAGAGAAAGAAAGGGAGGGGTGGAAAACGTATCTCTCCTTGAAAGTAAATCGGGAGGGCCGCTCCTCGGCCGGAAATGAGGCTTGCCAAGCACAATCTCCGGTCAGGGAAGGCCTCTCCATTTTGTTCTTTGTGATGTGTCCGCAATAATTGAAAATGTCCGCGCGGACTCGAGGGACTTTGTGCTCCCCTTTCTTCGAGCAAACTCCACTTCGCGGCGGGCCATCCCCCCTCCTTTCGAGGCCGAATCGCGTCATTATTGTCGAGGGAGCACAATGGCCCCCGTGAACGGACACAATCGAGGGAAACTCGCGTTTAACTCGCGAATCTCGCGGTTCGTTGCCGTTCTATGCAAATATTCTTCTGGCGATCATGTCTGAATCAACCCTTGTTTGCGAACAGGGGATGTTTTCTTCTTTGCGAAGAGGGGATCGCGTTGATAGGGAAATGTAGTACGTGTGGCTTGATAAATTAGATTTTTTTGTACTTTGGAAATGTTATAGATTCGTTTCTGATATGGAGGTTGAAAGATTTTTTATTATTGTGAAAATTGAAAAAATAAAATTGTTAATGGATGTTAATATATTAACGATTTGAAACTACAACCAATTCAATATTTATTGAATTTAATATTGAATTTTTATTATAAACAAGAATATCTAAAAATTTTTGGGGAGGATTTATATAAATGTGTTCCACAGTTTTATCTCTAAATTGCTCCATTTTTTAGAATTCATATATAATAATAGATAAAAATAAATTAAGTTTAATTGGATTAAAAATAAACATAATAGATAAAAATTGAAAAATGTGATACAAATAAAGTGATATAAATAGGTCACATCTACTTGAATTTCAAATTTCATCCTTTTTTAATGAAATCAATTTTTAGAATGAAATTTTTTCTGACAGAAAATAATTAAATAATTATAAAGAAACCCAAGTACGCATTCAATATCAATTTGACGAATATTAAACAAATTCAATCGATTCTTTACGTAAAAAGAATCTTGAATCAACACACTAGTTTGAAGAAGGGAAAGATTAAAATTATCAAAGAGCAAAGAATATCGGGTAAAATAAAAATACGAAAAAGGAAGAAAACCTTTTTTTTAGTTCAAAGATATCAGCTTGCAGTTAAAACATGTTCGACATTTTTTTCTCAGGATCGATACTCTGGATCGTTTCTTCATCGATCGACGTTGACGGGCCAATCGGCCATTAAGTATATCCCACCGATCGCAAAAAAGGAACGCAATCAATCTTCCATAAGTCGAAGTCTTCGAAGAAACACTCGCTTTATCGAACGTTCGATCGATACGAGGAAAATGTAATATATAAGAGCGAAATCTCTAGGTGTCGCAAGAAATTCTCGATCGAGAATCTCGAAACATCGGCCCCTCGACGTGTGCAGCCAATAGTTTCGTCATCGATCAACCAGTGGGGAACAGGGGAAGCGGTTTCTTGCCCGCGCGTGGTGCACGTGTGTGTAGGATTTTCATTGAGTGGCATGTTTCGATTTGCATGTATATCGGTTGGGAGGGGAAGTTAGCAGCTCATAGATCTCTTCTTTGGTTTCAGGTAGCAGCGAGGAATCGAGACCTGGGGGTGGGGATCCTGGAAAGTTGGGGGTGAAGAAACCAAGACCGAAGGCTTCGTCGCCCAACCGACAGGGACCACAGCAGTGCCAGGTAGGTTTTATTTTGCTCGTAAATTGTACAATTGAAAATTCGAAAATAATAATGTAATTTTGTTTAATTCTTTTTTTTTTCTTTGTCTTATGAAAATTTTCGTATAAAGCATTTAATAAATGTAAATTATATTTCTTTGTTTAGATTTATTGTTTAAATTTGATATATTGATTAAATAACTATTTGAATAATAATACTTGATTGATTTAAATGATAAAGAGATTGTAGAATCAATTTTTAAAGATTATCATTTACATTGATTGATTTTTGAATACTGCATACATGAGTTAAAATATACGCTTTAATTCGAATTAGAAATATTTTTTTATCCTTTTGTGCAAACATCGTATTTAATTTATTAAATAAAATTATGTATTGTGAAGAGACTGAAGATTGATTCTTTTTAATAAACATTGAATAACATTATATTATCTCTTTATTGTAGTTTATCATTAAGTGTTTTCTTTTTAATTCTATTAATTCTATTAAAAATTTTGAATACTCAATAAACTTTCTATATATTTTTCACGATATCTTTTCATCTGTACAAAAAAATATTAATTTGTCAATATTAATAATATTAAGAGCGAAAGACTTGATGTACACCATATATCTATACATCGTTCAACACAGAAAAGCAATTTCATGAACAATTTAAAAAAGGAAAAAAACACTTCTCACTTTTCCAATACTAAACCCTCTGACACAATTTCCTTTCAACATCTGAAACACAAAAGATGTCATTCCACGGTCGAATTCACGCGGAAGGAAGAGATAACGGAGGCGAGAATTCGAAACACGTTTTAATGTCAAAGTTGAATCGTCGATCCGATCACAGTTCCCGATGACGTTCGTTCGACAATTTTATTAGCTCGTGAAGACCGACTACCGAAGAGAATTTCCAGTGAAATCGTGGAGGGACAGTTCATTAGCGACGATCGAATTAAAAGAAAGATCGATAGCAAACGAAGTGTGGCTCGCGAAACCGCAAGTCTACGAAATCCATGCTTTTATTCCTCTCGTTTCGCGTTTTTATTCCGCGCTATTGTTCCACTTGTACTTCACGTTTTATCGCTTTTGTTTCCCTAGGCAGTTTGCTTTTCGTTTTTTTCTTTTTTTTTCTTTTTTTTTTTTTTTTTTTTTTTTTTTCGTTTATGATATTCTCGTATCCTGCACTCTATGATATTATTATTTTTTTTATTTCTCCTGCGGTTTCAGTTTCCTTGTATATTTTTCGAAATAAATTCTTTTCTTTTTCATTGTGTTCCTCGTTTTGCGTATATATATATTTTAAGGCAGAATATATAAATGTTTGAATTTCAAATTGCCTCGAAAGCGATTGGAAGAAATTGAATATTGGGAAGTGTTAGAAACAAACGTAATAAAATTGTATAGAAATTATTTAATATTATTAACTGATTAAATTGTTTCAATCTTTAATTTGATAATAGTAAATTTTAAATCGATTTTGTTAATTTTTAATATTGTATATACATTCAAGTTTCTATTTATTTATTTACTTGTTATTCGATTTATTTAAGTAATGAACAAAATTATTCTTTATTCCATGAATGATTCGTCATATTATTATCGTATAATAGAGAGTATAATTATTCGTTATTAATTGCTCATTCAAATTTTACAAATATTAGCTTTAGTGTTTCGAAGCATATCTGTGTAACTATCGAATTAGGGCAAAAGTTCAAGGCCGTTTCGGAACCATCCGCTTCGTTAGTCCGGTTCGATTTAATTTCTATTCCCAGTTTCTGAACAAAGTCAAGAGAAATATTGGGATGAGCTCTCTCGATTTGCAATTTTATTTATTACCTTGAACTCTATTCCAATATAGAACACAAAAATAATTTCTTCTATATCCTTGATTTATATCATTTTTAGAATGAATTATATTTATATTTATATTTGATCAGAAGTTGAATAAATTTATTTACTATTTTTATCGTATAAAAATATGAAAAATGAGAAAATATAATTAATAATGTTTCGTTTCCAATATTCTTGATAATTGTGAGTAAATTTAAAACGGACGCATTTAATTTATTAAAACTCGTATTAATACAGCATTGGTATTTTTGATAATATTAAAGTAGAAAATTGGATGAAGGAAGAAAATTTTTTCGATTTATAAAATTTACATCGAAGAAACGTAAAATTACGTTAATATATCTCGAAAAGTTTATCTACTAAACCGAAATTAATTGTTGAAAATCTAATAATTCAATTAAATCTATTTGTATCGTCGAAATTTACCTAACCAGTTAAATGCTCGAATGCTCCGCTTAGATACAAATGGCTCTAGAATAAATGTAGAAACGATTACATCCGTGACATTCTCTGTTAATTTACGTCACGATGAATTTCCTGTTTGTTAATAATTAAACACATTCGCTGTATACGAGGCGAATAACATAAACTGATTTTCGAATAGATCCAGCTCAGCAAATTTAATTTTATCTCTTTGAAGATATTTCGGCGGCGACCATGTTTAAATTTAATATTAATTAAACACTGTTTCTTATAGGATTATTGTCTCTCAAATGTATCGAGTTCTTTGAAGAATATCTTCAAATTTCCATTTAATTTTCATTTGATTGAATAACAATTTTCATTTTATAATTGTTTCATATTTTGTTCTTAAAAGAATATTATAATGTTATAAATTTAATTTTAAAAATATAGATTTTGGATTAATTATATATTTATTATTCATTTCAATCTTGAAATTGTTTATTATTATAAGTTTAAGTAGATATAATCTAAGAAATAAAAGAAATACATTTTTTGTTTTGACTCTCTAAATTTCTGATAACATCAGATTTGCATGGATAGTTAATCACATTTGATAATACAAACAAAAGTAATTCTGAAATTAAATGTACTAATGAGATTAAGAAATTTATATTACAATTAAATTCAAATTTATTAAAATTAGAAGATTGAAAATTAAGACTAAAAACTTTTAATAGAAGCTAATATATATGATTAAATTCTTATTATATTATTATTATATTATAGAAAAGTAATTAAGATTTATTCAAATACTTCCACTTTATCTTATATTTATCTCTTAATCCAATTATCTCACTTTTTCAATTTTTCATATATATTTTTTGGTTTTGACCATAACCAAGTCACCTTAAGTATCTTTTACTTGATGTCTCCACCAAGTGAAAAATATATCACAATTGAGAAAGTTCGCAGTTGAAATCCATTTTAAATTTTCTCATTCACTTAACAAACCACCGAATAAATACATTTCAATTACTCTTTCTCAATTAATCTCAATTTCAAAATCTTTAAATCTCATCCTCTAAAATTTCCTCCAAAATTTCCGAAACTCGACAAGTGTTCGATCTCTCATCTATCATTTCACTCTCAACCAACCCCCATTCAAAATCCTCGAAATTTTCGTCCAAATTAATCGATCATTCGACGATCCGCGCATATCATCGATGACCAAAGCGCGTCCAAACGCGCATTTTCGCATACACGCGTGACCCAGATCGGTATGAAATGACCGGAACACGAAAGCCACATTTCTATCGATACCTATTTATGCAGGTGAGTTTGCAACAGCCGAACCGGTGTACACACGTACGGAGGTCGCGTTTCACCAACACCGGTGGACAATGTGTAACTCGGAAAGGCTATTGAATATTCAGGCGGCACGATCCTCGAGCATCCACGGGGAACACGCCGCCTCGTCGAGTATAACACACGAACGCAATATCTCTTCGTTCGCGTAACCGAGTAGTTACGTCAAGGACCATTTAAAGGAGTACGCCTGTTTTTCCTCTCTTTGTCTTTGCGCGCCGTGTTTAAGTTACGTCACGTTATGCCGTTACTCTCTTCGTTTTTTTTTTTTTTTTTTTTTTTATTTTATTTTAGCAAGTAGGGGAAGAATATGAAATGTAACTTTACAGAGAATAGAAATAGTGAGGTAGTGAATGGAAAGGATTTTTGAAAAATTACAAGATATTTTTAATTAATAAATTTTCGTATAGAAACAAAAATTAAATATTCAAGGAACACTTTTAAAGAGTTTTATATATATATTATATATTATAACTTTTATACGTAATTAATTATCCAATATATTTAAATAAATTCAATTGTAGAATCATCAAATTAAAAACACGAAAAAGAATAATAAAATTCAAAACAAAATCAAAGAAAACGAATTTTGAAATAACTTGAAACGAGATCAAGGAAAACAAACTGCTTCTCTCGCTCCACTTTTTAAGTACATTTTCCCCGGCGAAAAGATCGAGTTAACTCGATATCTAATCCGATCCATTATCTCGAAACGAGCATCTTCGTCTCGTATTAGAGAATTGGATAGCCGGGAAACGAAGGGCCGTGAATTACGGTTCGCCTTGTTACATAATTAAATGATGGCTTGGCCGACTTGTTGACAAGCCCCGTCGATGTATCGAGTTAGCGACGAATTAAGCCGATCCTCCACGGCTCGATTATGGCTCGGATATCGGCGTTAAGGAGAATCCACGAAGGAGAAGGAGGGAAGGCAAGACCCGGGAGAGATGGCTTCTGGCCTCGTGGTTCTCGCTCGGCGGTGACGTCGATCGCCCTGTAATTTTACGGGAAATTAATAGTTACTGGTTGCACAGGGATCGTGAAAACCTTGGCGAGTCGATCGCCACCCTCCGTTTTATCCCTCAATTATCGGCAATTCGTCGTTCACCGTTTGATACTTTTTAATCGACGGCCCATTTTCAACCCGGCACTCGAACCCTTTCCAATTTTATCGAGCCCTCGATACAAAATGCTTTTAATAACTTTCTCGTAATTTTTAGAACAGTTTTTTCCCGAGTTTTTGTTAAGTTTGAAAAGTTGAGCGAAGAATAAAGCCAATCACTCGCTCGTAATATTATATATATAAATTGAAAATAAAAGAATGTTCGTTTCTATTCGGCTAATTTTAATTTAAATTGTTAGAGAAATGTATTTTACTGAAAAAGGAG